GGTCCAATGATGTCGCTGGTTCATGCATTCATGGATCCAACAAAGTTGCACTTCGGTTCTAGTGTAGTCGTTCCAGAGACTTCATCAGCATGTCATTATATGCATGGTGATCGATCTATGGATTCATTAGAACCAAGGCTCACATCAGGGTCCATGGGTGCCCAGGAATATTTTCATGGCCTGGATTCGATTCCAAGTTTTGGAGATCCAGGTCCATCATGCCATATTTCTCCAATTGGGATCGAGTCTAACCCTGGGCAAGGTTGTCGCAGTTCAGCTGAAAATGATGTATATGCTAGTATACACGATGGGCTCCTTGGCTCTCTTGAAGATGATGTGGAAGAAGATGACCCGGAAGATGACCCGGAAGTTGATGCGGAAGAGGTTGAAGAGTCGGAGTCGCAAGATGTGTCTGGTAGTGATTCGGATGATGAGCATGAAGGTGGGGGTTTAAGAGTAAACCTCGATATGGACCACTTGGACAGACGCAATAGCACAGCTGGCAGCTCTGCATATGTGCCAAGAGGAATGACATTTTTCTCCGATCTTGGGAACATAGATCATGATGATATGGAAGAGGAGGATGGATTGGAGCGTATTGTAACATTCAGTGAGGAGAATAATAATATACGTCTTCATATGAGATTTGAGAGTAAGCAGCAGCTCAGCCGAGCAGTTAGGATGTGGTCCATCAATCACAATAGGGAGTTCAGAGTTATTGAGAGTAAGAGTAACACGTGGTTTGCTAAGTGCAAGTCATCAATTGATCGACATCCTTCCACTTCAACCGCGCCATCGTATCCACCATGCGAATGGTGTGTTAGAGCCGTAAAGAAAAAGACTCATGGAATGTGGCAAATTACAAAGTGGGTGAATGACCATAACTGCTTGGGCGACATGATTAGAAATAACAATACAAGCCTGACTGCTTCCGTTATTTCAAGGTACATCCTCCGTAGCATTGAAGATGACCCTGGATTAAAGGTCAAGAACATACTAAGTTCCGTTAAAGAAAACTTGAAGGTTGATGTGTCTTACAAAAAAGCCTGGTACAACAGACTCTTCCTCCTCCGATTCCGCGACCACCTCCTCAACCGCGCTCCAAGTGGCAAGAGCTCCTAAATGCCATTTGTTGTATGGAGACGCGAGTTGTCGAGCGCATTGACCAAACGGAGCGGATGATGACCGAGCGGCTCGACCGACACGATCGCCGTCTTCGTGCGATCGAGGATCATTTCCATATCCGCCGGTCCCCTACTCCTACAACTCATCAGGAGGAGGGCCATATTGGTACCTCACAAGGTCCTCATGGAGCCGAGGAGGGAGTAGACCCTCGTTCCCAGCAGCCATGATGCTCTTTAGCGGATTGGATCTTTTATTTCTTTATTTTTCTTTTCTTTTGTTAAGACAAACTTTGTACATTTTATTTTTCTTTTAGTTGAATCATCTTGTGCTACTTAAGCATGTTTGGTACCCTTGTTGTCTCATTTTGGACACAAATTGGATGATTGTGATGATTAAGGGCTTCAAATTGCATCACCACCTTTTTAATTGGAAGTTTAGGTTGTTTTACCTTCGTCTACAATGACGACAATGTGTCTTGAAATGCATGATTTTAGTTGTTTATGGCTTCAAAATGTTGGAATTATATTTGAAGATACTGTACAGAGGAGTTATTTTTCTGAATTTGAGGATGTTGGCAGGGAGTTTCATCCATTTTTATGGGGAAACTCTGTCCAAATTTTTCGAAAACGTTTTCCAATATTTCATTCCAAATCTTCCAATTAAATGCCCAAAATGTTCCAATTTTAAGTGTGTAATTCTTCCTTTGGATAAAATGCTATGTGTATTTTAGAAAAGTTTAATTCTTATTTGGCTTGGAATGAATTATTATGCTATTAGGATTTTTACATTTTCCAAAGTATATTTGGTTAAATAAGAAAAATTATGCTTGAAAATGGTTACAAAGTGTTGTCTATGGCTTGAAACTGTTTTACATTTTAGTTGTCTATAGCTTGAAAATGTTAGTTTTGTTTTTGGAAATATTGTCATAAGGTTAATTTTCTTGAAATTGAAGTTGTTGACAGGGAGTTTTGTCAATTTGTTTGGGGAAATTCTTTCAAAATTTGTAAACAATGTTGTCCACAATTTCAAGTTACTGGCCAAAATGTTCAATTTTGCCCATTTTTTTTAGTTGATTAAATGGGTGGATAGATGCATTATTGGATACTTGAGATTGTGGGGGACATTCCATACGAAGTTCATGCACGAGCTGAAATCAATGGGAAGATAGTCCCGCCGATAAAGTGCACAAGAAATTAGGAGAAAAAATGAACGAAAAACGAAAGAAGACAAAAATTAGGAAATTTAATGGAATAGATCCGAGCTCGGATCGATAAGAGCTAAGACAGATCCGATCCCTCGTCTGTACTTCTGTAGGAGTGTATCCGAGGTCAGAAGATCCGGCCTCGGATCCATCATGCGAAGTCCTCGGATCCTACCTATCCGCCCTCGGATCGTTGGATCCGACCTCGGATTTATATTCAAGCTTCCCATCCAACGATCGGATCAGTGGACTCTCTACAGCAAGTGTCACGCCCGTCTTCCTTAACCTTTCTTTGCTTTCATTTTTTTCCTTTTCCTTTCCAACTAACAAACAAATAACATGCACTTCATGAAAATAACTTATATAATTTTTTAAAATAACATTGCGTTGTACAATTTCTAAAATTACGGTTGACATTGTAACATATATTAATGACTATTAACTATTATATTCTTATAACTAATTTTTATCGATGTCAAAACATTTATTTGACACAAAAGGAAAAACACTTAATATTTTATTCACAACAAATACTTAACACCTTACATGTTAACAATTTCATTCTATTTTTACATTGATCTATAAAATAGAAAGAACATTGATCTATGACATACAAAGAACTATCATGTGTACTTTTTCCACCATTTAAATGTATTATAATTAAATAACGTATTTTCAACGTACAATTACCAATTTTTGTTATTATAAAAGAATTATGCATGTATAGTAAATTATATTAAAAAGATTATTGTTAATCTGATTTTGTTTTAGCTCATATTTGATGACTTTAGCCACGTGCAAGTTCTAAAATTCCAAATTTATTATTCCTCTAAACATTACACATTTTTAAACAAAATTTCTCTAACCTTTCTCCGAAAAATAAGATTTTCGTACAGATTTTAAAATAACATTTTACTACCGACACCATTTTAATAAAGGCAACTTCTACAAAACAAACAATATTTACATTTACTTTTATATTTTTTATGGAACTCGTAGATATCATTACATATTTTTTTCCTAACATTTTTTAAATTAATTTTGTAAAAGTCATACTTATAAATGCGAAATCTAACAAAAAAGTTAAATACAATTTTTCCAGGTCAAATTTAACAAATGCGAGCTATTTGCAAAATTTTAAATATTTGCAACATTTTTTAAAACAAAAATTAGCAGCTTTCTGCGAATAATTCCCTACCTCTCAAAAAATACAAAATAAAAAAGATAAGACCTCGCATTTGCTTTCTGGAAATAATTCCCTAGCTCTTAAAAAATGAAAAAAAAAATAGACAAGAGCTCTTATATGCGGAATGCGAGCTCAATAAGGACGGAAATTAATCCCAAAATCACCCCTTTTGTAGAATTTTTTTTAAATTCATCACAAAGTTGGAAATTTTTCAGACTAGTAAAGGTATAAATCCACAAAAGAGGGTCTTCGCATTCTGGAAATGCGAGCTCATTGAGCTCGCATTCTGAAAATGCGAGCTCACATTGAGCTCGCATTCTCGCACTACATACCGCCAAGACCCATTTCGAAAAAAAAGAAGACAAAAGTGAGTGGGAGAAGCAGAACGCAATATCGAAACATAGCTGCCGAACATCAAAACAAAGATTTCGGAATTGTCGAACAGCAAAACAAAGAAAACAAATAACATGCACTTCATAAAAATAACTTATATAATTTTTTTAAATAACATTGCGTTATGAAATTTCTAAAATTACAGTTGAAATTGTAACAGATATTAATGACTATTAACTATTAGATTCTTATAACTAAAATTCGTCGGTGTCAACAAATAAATACGATTCATTAATAACAAAGGAAAATTAGAATTTGATAAAAAAAATTATTTGATAAAAAAGGAAAAAAAGTTAGTATTTTATTCATAAAATATAGTCGATACCTTACATGTTAACAATTTCATTCTATTTTTTCATTGATATATGAAATAGAAAGAACTATGCATGTGTACTTTTTCCACCATTTAAATGTATTATAATAAAATAACGTATTTTCAACCGTACAATTACCAATTTTTTTTAATATAAAAGAAATATGATTTTTTTTAGAACACATATTTGATGACTTTAGGCACGTGCAAGTTTTAAAATAAAAAAATTTATTCCTCTGCTAATTACAGATTTTAAATAACATTTTTTTAACATTTCTCCGAAATATAAGATTTTAGTAGAGCTTTTAAAATAAGATTTTACTACCGACAGCATTTTAGTAAAGGCAAATTCTACAAAACAAACAACATTTTCTGAAAAAGATACATTTTGGTGGCAGCTCGTAAATTTCATTTTAAATTTTTTTTCTAGCAAGTTTGAATTTAATTTTCTGAAAGTCATACTTATAAATGCGAAATCTAACAAAAAAATTAAATACAATTTTTGGAGGTCAAATTTATCAAATGCGAGCTATTTGAAAAATTTTATTTAGCTCTTACTATTTTCTGGAAAAAATTTAATGAGAGTAAAAAAAAAAAAAAAAAAATATCAGGGTGAGCTCTATTGAGCTCGCATTCGTGGAATGCGAGCTCAATAAGCAGAGCTCGCATTTTGCGAATGCGAGCTCAGCAGAGCTCGCATTCGCAAAATGCGAAGACCCCCCTACGGAATACCCAATCAAAATCACCCCTTTTGTAGAATTTTTTTAAAATTCATCACAAAATTAGAAATTTCTCTGGTCCCAAACCATGACCCCTCCATAATTGGAGTAGTTCTGCACAAAGGGAAGAACCTCATCAATTAGCACTTGCGGTGGGATGTAACCACCACTAGGTGAGACTGCAGGGTCTGCAGGTACACCCAGGAATAATGTATTAATGCCTGGATAGGAAGCCCAGCGGTCCCAACTGTCGAAGAGGGCACTGGTATTGCCTGGTGTATACTCACAAGGAGGATTGTCAAAAAATTCCACCCACACGTAATCAAAATGGCCAGTTTTGATAGCAGCGTCCAGAAAATAGTCAGGAATGAAACATTCTGGTGCTGCCGATAAATACACCAGCTTCCTCTCTGGTGTGTTATATTTTGAGAGCGCCTGAACAAGGTCAGCCAAGTAATCCGCCTTTCCAGCTTGGATATGAAAATCTACACCATCTAAAACAGCATTGCCTAATGGACGAGAGTCTGATTCATTACCACCTAAGAATTCGTTCCAGATATAGGAGGCGACTTGCTGAGCATCATCGGAAGAAGAAAGGTTAGCGGCTCCACCGAGAGAAAGAAACACTTTGATGCCTAGGCCTTGGCAAGTTTCTATTTCGGAACTGTTTAAGGAATGCCCAGCTATGTTCAATTGCGGTGTTTGGCCACCGCCATAATTGATCAGAAAGGCAATATTCACGTAGTCATAGGTACCTTTACGACATGTGTCTACCAGGCTTCCTTCCGCAGTGGTTTGGCCCCAGTAGGTGGCAATTCCAGCAGCTTGCGAAAACCTTATCAGAGATATCATCAACAGGAATGATATTGGTAAGAAGAGTAGTTGCAATGAGATAGCCATTTTTTCTTTTCCTTTTTTTCAGTTATTTTTGCAGATTTGCTTTGGTGAGTTTAGTTGCACCATGATTGACCATTTTATAGACGAGTTCATCTCAAGCGGGGAATGCAACACGTGCGGAGTATTGGGCATTTTTACTCTTACTATTACAGTTTTAAAAATAGTTACTCTTCAATATGTGCTATGAGATTATTCTTTTATTAATGTACTCCGTGAAAATCCACACATATGCGGACAGAAACGTGAATGTATGACTTTGTTGTTTAATTGTGATTGAGACATGTGTTGTACTAACCTGACTTTATACGTAATCTGTTAACAGGATGGAGGAACATGCATTTCGAGGACCGGATCGAGCAAGGTAGTAGAAGTTAAGTTTCAAATGGACTTTTCTATGAACATCTAAACATATTAATTCAATTGGGATTTGGGTACTTTTAATGAGGTATACCATCAATAATGTGGTTGCATTTAATTAGGTACACCATGTCAATACTCCTGTATCATCACATATCACGTAACCAAAGATGATGCTGGATAGATATAAACAAATCTAATCAAACCGATCATTCTAAACCTCAAAATTATTTGGGCTTTGTATGTAGTGGAAATTTTTTAGAGTGTTTTTCAAAAACTTTATTATAGCAGTGTATGTTAAAAACTTTCGATAGTAGACAGTTCGTTTGAATTATGTGTTTTTGAAAATATATTTTGGAATATCTATAAAATTTAAAATTTTTTTGAGCTATTTTTTAAATATTTATAAAAAAATTCCCTATTACCCACCACCCCTCCTCCAGCGCCACCATTCCCCTCTCCCCCTCCTCCTTCTTCCCTTTTTCTCTCTTCTCCTCTCTCCTCTTTCCTTTCTTCCACTTTCCTCTTTTTCCCTCCTTCCTTTCCCTTCCCCTTCCCTGCAACTCCGTTCCCTCCCTTTTTTCAATCTAGTCACGGATGGCAACTAGACCTAGTCGCTATCACAACCCACCTGTAACAAGGTAAAGGTTGCAACCAGATCGAGAAACGGGGGAGGAGAACAGCAGGGAAAAGGAAGAGGAGAAGAGGACGGAGGAGAAGGAAAGAGGGGAGTGAAGGAGAGGAGGAAGGAGGAGGAAAGAGGGGAGGGGAGGGGGTGACTACAGTGGCAGTAGAAGAGGGAGACTAAAATAATTGAGAAATAAGATGAATTATTAGGTCACAACGTGACCAAGTTTTTCGTAAAAAATTGAAACTATTGATGAACAAAGTAGACTGAAATAATTGAGAATTCGAAAACTTATCTTCACGTAATCTGAAGATTATGCCGACTAGAGTTCAACGTTTTATTGCATAGGTAAAATATGGATTTCCATAAAATGTAATCTAACCCTTTCACAATCCCAATTCCCTAGTGAGCTTGATATTTGCAATAAAGATTGTTCAAGTATCAATCACAAGTTAGTTTATCTCCTTTGGGTCATGGAAAAAATTTAAAATTAAAAAGCTAGTTTCACTTTCTTTTCTTTTTGTTTCAATATATAATTGAAACTTGTTTTGCTAATCATGAAGAATTAATTCGGACAAAAAATAAAAAAAATAAAAAAACTTGTACACAATTCATAAATCCTTAAATTCATCCACAAACACATTCAAATTAAGGAAATAATTTTTGGTCTTTGAACAAACCTCAAATGAGTTTGTAAATAAAATTGTTTTTTGTAAGCCATCAATCTAGAAAACTATTTTAGAAAATTCTAAAATTTTGAAAAATTCCTCAAATTGACAAAAACACTTTACAATGAGGGAATAACATTTTCTGGCTTGAAAAGACTTTGTATAGGTTCTTAAACAAATTTTTTATATGTTAAAATATCACTATTATATTGATTCTATCAACATTACACATTTACACAGCTTGTCTTTATTTTCAACCTTCTTTTATATGTTTTCAATTTTGAAAAAAAAGTATAGGACAACAAAGGGTACTTTTGGAGTGAAAACATCTTCTGTATCCAAAGATGAATTTTTAATAATATATTTTGAAATGGATTGGCAATGTTATAAAAGTCAAAAGCAAGGAAGTGATATTTTTTAAAGTTAAAAGATGCTAGATGAAACTGTTAGAAATCTCAAGGGAGGTTTCTAAAATTATCCCTTTAGATAAATGCCTAGAAAATTAAATCCAAACATCCAAGCGCAATAATGTGAAATGTGTTCATTCTAATGTGTAATTATCCAAGTACAATAATGCTTGGGGCAATTATTGTACTGACCTGACCTAAACTATGAGAGACTAATTTCTAAAATTGCAGCTTCAAGTATCCACGTTCATAGAGAATAGACAATTAACAATAGTACATCTTTTCTGCTCATCATGTCAATTCTCAAGTATACATCTGTCCACATTTCGTTCTTGGCAGCCTTAAAAGTACTCAAACATATTCTAACTGGAATTGATTGGGTTGATTATGTAATTGGCCATGACAGGTAAATCAAAATTGATGATGAATAGGTCTAAAGAAGCCTTCTCTTTTCACTCAAGTGTATCACATACTTAAACATCCTAGCGTGAAATTTTGTTTATGAAATTTGATGACTAAGAATTCACTCGAACATCAGAGTTGCACAATTTTCGAGTATAGATGTTGAATATGGATTTATAGACATTTTCTTCACGCTGCATCCCATTCTGAAGATTGTGGCATAGATTTACACTAACACGATGGTACACCCTGATTGTTACTATTCTTGTCCTGTTTCAAGCAAATTTTAGGACCAGTCTGTCGTAAATTATTGTGCTCCCACGGAATTTTAGGACCTGGCATAGATTTACACTAACACGATGTTACACCCTGATTGTGACTATTCTTGTCCTGTTTCAAGCAAATTTTAGGACCAGTCTGTCGTAAATTATTGTGCTCCCACGGAATTTTAGGACCTGGCATAGATTTACACTAACACAATGGTACACCCTGATTGTAACTAGGTTCCGTCTATGGTGGAAAGCTGACCTGCCTATGCGCGGTGGGAAGAGCAAAGGAAATTAGGACAACACAGCACTGTGGGCCTGGATCAAGAAAGGTTATTAAAAGTAGTGACCGGAACCTGGTAGAAGAAGTTTCACCATGTCCATTGTACTTTTAGGATAAATAACATGTATGCCCTCAACAACTTATGGATATTTGCATGCACCCAAAAATTATCATTAATTCCGGAGTAGCTCCCCATGCTTGATTGGCGGGAAACAAGTTGCGGGCATTAGCGGGAAGATTTGGAAAAATTGGTCAATGCAATAATCCTTGGGACTATTGATTAAGCGCATTTAGTCCTATTGATTTAAGGACTATTAATCATAGGACTATTAATCATATTCAGCTTCATTTTTCATAATATGCGTGCAATCAAAAAATAGATAATATTTATGATAATATATTTTAAATAAAATTTTTTTTATTGAAACAAACTTTAATGTTTTAAATAATTTTCATAAAATAATTTATATTAGTAGTTATAATATTTAGGGGTAGTTATGTTAAAAACATATACTTAAATAGTTAGAAGTAAAAGCAGCGATGAGTAGTTACAGATAGTTAAAGTAAAATTAGTTTTTATAAGGATAACAAAAGTTCATAAAATGTTAACTCCAAATTCCTTCCTCAAACTTTATATATAGTATAGCTAACAATGCACCTACATTCACTAAGTATTCTATTATACTAAAATGTATCTACATTTACACAATCTTCACATTTGCTGTCCCTTCTTCTTTTTTTCCCATTTTTTTAAAGTAATTTATCCAATTTTTGCCATTCATTTTTTCTAACTCGGTTCATTAGTTCAAAAGCGATTTTTCTTTATTGCATTTACCCTTGGTAAGTTAAAAGCCCATAAATGTATTTATGTGTACTCTAATCTCAATGATTAAATTTAATTGTTAGTTCACGTAGATGAGTAATTATATACATAAATAAATAAAAGGAATTAATTTGTATAAAAATTTTATTTTTCACAATAATTTATTGAAGAATTTTGGTTCATAAGGTTATAGTAATTTGGTAATTACAATACTTAGGGTAGTTATATTGGCAAAATGTGATTAAGCAATTAGAGGAAAAATTAAAAGTTTTTCCCTAAGGATAAAATTGAAAGTTTAGAAAATGATTTTAAAAAGTTTATACTAACAGCGATCCCTCTAACTAAGTGCTCATAGATAGTGATTTTTTAATTGGAATCAAAATTGTAGATGAATAATTAGAAACATAATTAACATAGTGTTACAAAAAACCAGAATCGTGACATAATTGACCTGGTAGATTTTAATTTTAATTTAGAAATTAGATAAGTAATCTTATACATAAGGTTGCTTCTATGGTGGAAAGCTGAGTCATCTTTGCATAGTGGGAAGAAGTAATAGGAATATGACAACTAAGTTAGGTGGGCCAAAAAAACAGACAAAAAATGAAATTTGCAACCGACGACAGGCTAGAACCGGTAATGAACAAGGGGGCGTAGTTTAATTTTGGCGTTTCCTTAAGATAAAGCCTGTTTTCATGAAGGAATAAAGATGCTGCTTTCGTGTCTTCAGTTCGAGCCTCCGTGAGATTTTTTTGACCCAATGCAACATCCCCAATTATTTTAAAATGATGTCTTTACCTCTTTGGGAATTCGAAAGACATTTTAAAGTGGTTTTTTTTTTCTATTTTGTTTAAAGTAATTTATCCAATTTTTGTCATTTAATTTTTTAATTCTATTTATTGGTTCAAAAGTATTTTTCCTTTATTGCATTTATCCTTTTTAATTCTTTTTAAATATAATTTAACCAACTTTTTCTTTTTTCTTTAAGAAAAATACTATTTCATTTAACGAAATGTGAAAGACATTTTAAACGATTTTTCCTATAAATATTTATTATTCAGTATGCAAGAATTGAATCTTTTCCAATTATAAATATTTTTTGTAATAATAATTAACAAGAAACCAATTTCATAACCATAACCCAGCTGGTACCAACATGGCATGTTGAA